AGCCATTACAGTCAGTCATACATTTAGTGTTGATCTTCCCTATGGACAAAGGGGAAAGGGACACAGTTGGTTACAAGATTTGTGACAAACTGTCTAACACTGGTGGCTCCGAGGAAGTGCACTTTTCCTGCTCCTGAGGTCTGAAAGAAGTTTCTCCCATGAGTCTTTAGAAATAAGATGCAGAATGATCGAGGGCAGTGGATGGCTTCTCTCTCCTCGGGCTTCTGCCTTTGGCTCTCCATTGGGTGTCGAGTCTCAGCTGACCTCAGCTGTTAAGGAATTGCATACTAAAACCTTTTATGTTTCAGTCAAGGATTAACGGGATGGAGGAAGGGACCAGTGTGCCAGTATGTGTGTATGTGTCCACCACCCAACAGATAACTACAGATATTCTTTGAACTGTATGTGCTGAAATGTTCGCCCCGGGTTTACAAAAATCCCATAAAAATCCTGCCTGGGTGTTACAACTTGGAACGCTCTCAAAGTGCCCAGAGCAGTATTTTGTTCCTAGGCCGTTTGGTGACATGGTACTCCTGCAGTAAATACATCCTTGGAACGCCCAAGCAGATTTTGCTGTCGCTGCAGAGGAACGGCTTCCCAGAATCTTCCTTTTGTGTCCCCCTCTGCTGCGAAGTGGAGGGCGGTGGCTTCATGCGCAGCTGTGACATTTTAAAACCTCTTTCCAAAGGGTAGATGTTGCCTTGAGAACTATGTCCTGTTCAGTGTGAAAGAGCCTTTTAGATTTTATGTAATCATTTCTTTGGCAGAAGTATATTAATAGAAACTGACCTCACAGCTTGTCTTTTTTAAATGGTTTTGGCTGCTGTTTTTTTTCTTTCCCCTCATGTCAGCTGTCTAAAAATTAAACAAGCATTTGATGGAAACTATAACTTGATAGATAGTAGCTCCGGGTTGTCATAATCTTGATTATCATCAACAGACATTGATTAAGAACTAGTTACGGGTGAGGCATGTGGTTTATGAATAATATAGAGAGTGCAGGCCTCAGCAGTCCTGAGTGTGAGTCCTAGTTCCAGTGGGACATCGAGCAAGTCATTTAGCCTCTTTAAGTCATAGTTTCTTCCTCTGTAAAATGAAATTCATACTCTTTACATCCTAGGGGACAGAGTAAATGAGACGATCTATATAAAATGCCTGGCACAGTACCTGGCACATAGGAGGCATGTTATGGTATGTTGTGGTCTTGTAGTAGTATCGTTGCAGTCTGCTGATGAGAAGGTTGACGAAGCAGGAAGCTGGCACTTAAATACTATTAATGTATCAGATACTCTACTAACTGCTTTACAACTGTTAACTCACTGAATTCTCAGACAGGCCTATGAGGTAGGTGCTATTATTATCGCCATTTTATAAATAAAGAAACAGAGAGGTTACGTAAGCTGGCCCAAAGCCGTACAGCTAAGTCGTACAGGCGGGCGAGACTGAACCGAGGCAGTCCGGTGCCAAGTCCATGCCCTGCTTCATCATGCTCTATTGCTTCTCATCCATACCCTGCCTCTTGCCTACACAGTATAGCCTGAAGTTATCAATCTGGCATTTTCAGGGGAAGACCTGTGTGAGATAACGTATCCAGTGTTCTGGCAAGAATTAGGAGAGAAATTGATATTTGTAAGAGATAGTTTTCCATTTGGGTTTAAAGCTCGAGTCACATCTGTGGTTTAACCACCCCTACCTTCCCCAAAGTCGAGACTCACCAGTCCTTTGCTGAGTTCAGAATTGGGTTTTCAAGCTGGTCTTTAGCTTTTATGGAAGAGCAGGGCGTCCCCAGAGCAGGTAACACTCAGAATTTCAGTTGCTGACAAAACTGGGCATGCGTAGGCATGTTCTTAAGGAAAGACGGGGAGAGAGATCCTGAATGGATGGAAAGATAAGGTGGCCTTATAGCATGGGATATTTAGAATGTGTGGATTTCATTAAAATAAATTATTTCAGATCATTTTCATTTTGAATTTATAGAAACCACAAGTTAAGTGATTCAGAACCCAAATGAATCCACAAATCTACAAAAATCTATACTTATGGAATAAACTATGGCCTCTTTATAATTGGCCAGTAATTTATAGTTTGCAAGAGCAAGAAAGGTTCAAAACACATAGGCTTTAGAGCCAAAGACTCTTGGGTTTCATTTCTCCATTTCTAATTCCTACCTTTGTGAGCTTGGGCAAGTTACTTCACCCTGCCAACCTTCAGAGTCCCAGTGTGGCAAATGGGAATAACAGTATCTGCCTGTTAGAGTTGCTCTGAGGATTCAATAAGGTAACAAATGTAGGGTGCCTGGCATATAATGGTCACTCAGTAAATGAGAGTCATTATCTAGGCTTCAAGGAAAAAGTCCTAAAGCTGCTTTCAGGAAATAAACTATTTTAATAGAAATATCTGCAAGACCCAAGAGACGAAGTAAATCTTGAATGATGGCATTTTGGGCTTTGAGAATGGTACAGGGACTTGTGTTTCGGGACATGGGACTCTTCCTAGTACTCCGTGCCTGTCCTGGCTTCCCTCACGTTTCCCAAGCAGCTACAGTGACTGGAAGGAAAACGTGTGCGAAGGAGACCAGCCAGAAGCACACCTTAATGCAGCCAGGCGTTGGCGCCCAGCAAGCAGGAAAGGGGCGGCTTACTTACAGCCCAGCTGTCAGGAAGGCAGGCAGCACGAGAAGCCCAGCACCCTGTATACTGCTCTCAGAGTCAGAGTAAACGTGTCAGGCTGCAGGGTTACTTAAGATGAAAATATTGATCTATGTAAACAGGTTATGTCTGGTTTTGATTAAATTATTGCATGCGCAAAACCCACTGGAGATGCTGCAATGCGTGGTGATTATAGTATCCTCAAAAATGGCATAGTAAGATATCAGAGGGCTTGTAAGTTTATACGATGTTTTTGAAATTATAAAAGTAATGTTTATTTATTACAGGGAATGTGAAAAATACAAAATAACACTAAGGAAAAATAAAAACACTCATTATCCCACTATCCAGTAAAACTACTATTCACATTTTGTAAATAACCTTCCAGTCTTTCCCCACCCACCCTGTGACTTTACTTATACTTTTTCATAATCGCAATCGCCTTGCACATTATGTGTTAAAATTTTCCGTTTTCATAAAATAGTGTATTATAAAGATGTTTCATAAAAGTAAAAATTTTGCAACATCACTTTGAATATCTTCATGATAATTCACAATATTTTGTTAGACCTAGGTTGTTCCCAAATTTTGGCTCTCAAAAAAAAAAAAAATGAATTATTGTAGCTAAACTCGGTACCCAGATTTCCCTGTAGATTCAGAGACGTGGATGTCGGCGCCTTACAAACGATGTTGCTGGGCGTTATTGGTGGGGGGCAGTCAGAGATCGTCTAACAGGCCAGTGTCTTAGAAAGCAGCTCTCCAGGTTCAGGGGTGACTTCTTTCCCTCCAGTGGTCTGAAGATGCCCACAGCCGCGAAAGGTAGTTGTAGGGAAGAAAGGGGGGGACATGGGAGGCTCTCACCAGCTAAGTTTTCTTGAAATTTAGCTAGGCATGATTTCTCTGTGATTACATCCACCAGTGAATGTGTAACATGCAACGATCAGCAGCAAATATGCCCAATAATTGATAAATGTCACTGACAGGTAACAGCGGAAACTAAGAATTACCTGTATTTCTATACCTTTGTTTGCTTAATATTTTTGAAGTTAAATTTAACCATGTGTAATGATGAACTACAATGCCTTCTTGACCTGAATACGGTATATTAGAGCTTATAAGAATTGTGTAGGTTTCTGAGCATGTATTTGTTTGTGTTTCGAGCATTGTTTTACTTGGTAATGGTTTAAAAGCTATAAATATCATGAAAAGGACTAGACGTATGTGAGAACTCTGAGAACTGGCAGAAGCACTAATGAAATACCAGTTAGAGAAAAGATCAAATGTACCACGAAACTACAGTGCTACAGATGTCGAACACAGAATGTGGGAGAGGAGAATGACTTGAGATGAGTGAAGCGCCTCACGCACTGATGAAGGGGAAGTACTGGATGTAAGCTGACGACGGCTTAAGAACATATCTAAAAATACACGTTCCGCCTGGGAGCCCCATGAGGCCTCTGATGCTTTTCTCAGCTCCCTCCCGCCTCCGCCTCTGTCTGACCAAACACACCTTTCATAGTCAAAATAATAAGACAGTTTCTTACACCTCTAATCTTTTCAATAACTGTTAACAACAGGAACAGTCTTTTGAATCTGATCATTGGACCCATTAGGTGTTTTCTGAGAATAAGATTGTCATTTGGCTTGACAAAGAAATACATGAATGAATGTCTAAAATGCCCCAGTGTGTTATTACGATGCACCAGAACCCCGTGTGGTGCAGGATAGCTAGTATTCCTGCCTTGCAGGATTATTGAACCTGTGTCTTTGTCAGCAAAACCATGAATCAGCACCCACTGTCCTTCTATCACTGTCACCCAGAAACCTGAGATTCTCCAGATTTTTCAAAAATTTTTTTGAATATTTGGGCCATCCTCATATTAGAGTTCTAAACATACCTAATTCCTGCGTATAACTGATTTTTCATTTTTATATGGTTATTAATAACGGGTACTTATTTTCTTAGAGACTGTCATCTCTGTTCACAATAATCTTTAAGGTTATAAATATTCCCACATTCCTAATTAGGAAGCAGGCTCAGAAAACGGTGCGTTACCTGCTCGTGTCTGTGTGGCCACATTGTGATCCGCGTCAGTCTGACTCAGAAGCTATCTACCTCTCACCTTGTTTCGGGGGAACTCAGCGAAAACAGACCTGATAATAGAACAGACAAGCGCGTGAAACCTTGTGGGGAAAACCCCTAAATCCCTCCGTCTCGGATAGCCAGGCCCTCGAGACAGCTTCAGCGTTTTCCTGTGCTTTAACAGCTTTTCGCCAGTATGTGGTGTTTTCTCAATGTTAAGTTCACTGTTTCAGCCTTCCTTCCCCCCTCCTGCCCCTTTGATCTTCCAGGCCCTCAGTACCGCCTGGAGAAGCAGAGCGAGCCCAACGTCGCCGTGGACCTGGAGAGCACTTTGGAGAGCCAGAGCGCCTGGGAGTTCTGCCTGGTCCGCGAGAACAGTACGTTGGCCACCTCGCTCCGTGCCCGCTTTGTCTGTTACAGACATGCTTAGACGTCACGTGTCTGGGAGCGCTGGTCTGGCTTCCCGGGGCAGATTTGAAGTGACTGTTTTCCAAGGCGGACCTCAGCCTTCGTGCCAAAAGTATATCCCAAAGTGAAATGATTGATTTCGTGCTTTTTGGTAGAGAGTCTGCATCCTGTTTAGCTCTCTGTGATTAATATTTTTCTGTTAAACTGTATCTTCTTAAGCGAGGAACAGTCCTGGAAGCAGCTTAGAAAAATGAGGCCTTTTCTTAGGCAAAGGCTATTCTGTATATAAAGCAACTGGCCCTGTTCAGTATCACTGTATCGTTGTTCAGACATCAGATTGTAGGAAATTCTGATCGTTTGCGTACTCTTGGCAGGAGTCAGTGTGGTGGTTCCTAGTGCTGTGTTGTAAGCGTCTTTAAAAGTTCAGTTCATTTCTTTTCATTCTCTCTTTAGAGTATCCGAGTGGTGAACCTTTGCCATCCCCTCCTCTGCACTCCCATTGACTTAAGGGGCAAGTGGCATGTGAAGACAGGTCATAGTGGTCTTTTACACAGGCTGTTTCTTCTGCATGGAGCCCTCTTTCCCCGACTCTGATTCATTGTTTCTCATCCTTCGTCTCAGTTTAAATGTCACATTTTCAAAGAGGCTGTCCGTGATCACTGTCTCCCCTCGCCTACACCTGATCCATCCCTCACTTGAATCCCCCATTATATTACGTCATAAAGCACACTACTTTTTATTCATTGCTTATATTTCTCTTTATAATTATATATTTTTCTGAGTGATCATTTGATGTCTGTTTCTCCCACTGTGAGGGTGTCCCTGATCCATACCAGCTTGCCCTTCATTAATTCAACAGATATTTACTCATCACCCACTATAAGCCATGTACTGCAAGAGCTAAGTAATGTAGATTAAATGAGTGAATGAATGACAGTTTTTTAGTCCCGCCACTGACCCCAGGCCACTACTCTTGGCCCGGAGTCCCTCACGGCCTCGTCTGGGGACGCATGCTCAGAGTCCACCAAGAAAGCGAAATGTGCTTTTTTGCATTTATCAACACATTCTCAAAGGCAGAAGGTTGGTGCCATCATAGTCTGCAACCAGTTATAAGTAGTTTATATAAATACACAAAATCATTTGGATTCTCGAATGGTCCAAAAAATTTGAATAAGTAGTAAACATTTATAATAATATTTATCCCTATCAACAATCTAAGATACAAACATTTTAAAGCAAAAATGTAATACTTTTCACCTATAAAACAAGCCAAGTATTTCAAAAAGAGTCCTTCCTCATTGCTGAGGAGAATACAGGGAAATAGGCAAATTCAAGCAGTTGTTGACTATGGTGTAAGTTAATATAACATAGCTGGAAGTATCAAGAGACCTAAAATACAATAAAGATTTGTGTGTAATGATAGTCATTAAATACTTATAATATATATGTATATAATATCTATGTAATACTCCTATATTGGGAAATTATGCAGAGTGTCCACCTTTTGGTAAAGGCAGATTAAGTAATTTGATCAAATTCTCTCACTGAAAGTAACTTTAAAAGCTGATTAATATATACAGATCATTCTTCTAAAGTCACCAGAGAGCACAAGATAGAAAATAATTAATGGCCAGTATCTGGGAGAAGATTGAACTAAAAGAAGTAAGATCAGGACCTAGGACCAGTTTTTGTCCTGATATCATTTGTATTGGAAGGCTGCAATATTTAAAGGAAATTTAACAGCCTCTTAATTCACATATTATAAAAGAAGAAACGCCAAAAAGTAATACGCTAAGCATTCAGCTCAAAAAATTAGAAAAGAAATGTAAAGAGAATAATAGGAAGGAAGCAATAAAGATAAAAGCAGAAATTAATGAAATAGAAGATTTAGGGACATCAAAACCAAACGTTGGTTCTTAGAAAAGTCTAACAAACTTGCTAAACCACTAATGAAATGGGTCAAAAACATGGAAGAGAAACAAATAACAGAGAAACACAAATAATAACAGGAATAAAAATGAACCTGCAGTCACTCAACAGATAATACAAGGTTGTTTTGAAAAACTCCATACTAAAAATTTTGAAAATGTAAACGAAAAGGGAAAAAAATCCTAAGGAAAAAAACAATTTGCCAAAATTGACACAAGAAGAAATAGAAAACTTGAATACTCCCATAACTATTTCGAAAACTGAGTTCATGATTAAAAACCTTCCCACAAAGAAAAGGCAGCCCCAGGCAACTTCACTGGCTAGTTCTACCAAACACCTAAGAAACCACCCGAATCTTATATCAGCTGTTCCAAAGAATAGAAGAAAAGATTACACTCTCCAGTTCATTGTAAGAGGCTGTTATAATCTTGTTACCAAACCCTAATAAAGACCGTACAAAGCAGAAAATTTTCAAACCAATCTGAGGTACAAATATCCTAAACAAAATATTAACAAACTGAATTCAACATTATAATAAAAGAATGAAGCAACCCAAGTTGGTTTTATTCTAGGGGTACAAGGTTAGTTTATTAAAAAAAAAAAAAAATCCCAATTAATATAATTTGCCATAATAACAGATTAAAAGGAGAACAGTCATCTCAGGAAGTGTTGAATGCCCTTCAGCCATTATAAGTTGTGTTTACTGACAGTTTTTATTATGAAAGAAGTGACTTTGATATAATATTAAAAGAGAAAATTGTCAGAGATACAAAGTAATACATCTAGACTAATATCAACTATGTAATATCAAAACAAAAAGAATAGAAGGAAAATTGGAAGGAAAATGCCAAAATATTAATAGTGGTCGTCTCTGACTGGCAAGATTCTGCATAATTTTCTGTCCCCTTTATACTTGTACTTTCTAGAGCTTCTAAAATGAGCACGTGTGACTTTCTAAGGAAAAAAAGCAAAAAAACAATAGAGACAAGGTCACATACGTAAAGATTACACAATGAGAATACCTCTTACGATGCTCGAAATCTCAGAGCATTTGTAGTACCATCCCATGGCTCACCAAAAGAAGAATCAGAACAACACACCCCTTTGTAACTTGCTTATCTAATTTTTTTTAACCTAATGTAAGTGGGTAATCCCTCCCTCCCTGTCATTATCTTTCATTCTTTAAGCACAGTAGGGGAACTAAGTCACATAATAGGAACTCTGTAGTGGATTCTGTTTCAGAATGTTGACTCCTTGTTATATGAATAAGATAAAATGTTATGTATTAGCACCTTGGTAAATATTTTGGATATGTAACACTTATTCATGTAAAAGAATTTTTCAGATAACAAACTAGAGTGAAAACTTAGCCTCTCTTCTCTCCCCGCTAATTTCCCTCCCAGAGCAATAGTTGTTGCCAATATCTTCAGTATCTTTCCAGGGTTGATCTGTGCATATGCGAGAGTATTCTATATATGTATGTGAATATACCCACACACATACATATACACACACACATAGGCCGTCAGCTCTCTCTATCCCTGGGTTTAGCATCTGCGGATTCAACCAACTGTGGTTTGAAAATATTTAGAAAAAATGTTACGTTGTTGCTGACGTGTACTATGCAGTTAGGCCCACAATTATTGCGCCTGCCGCTGAATATGTACAGACTTCTTCTTATCATTATTCCCTAAGCAATATAGTATAAGAACTGTTAACATAGAACTGTAAACATAACTATTAACATAGTAAGTTATATTAACTTATAACTTACATTTTATTAGGTATTATAAGTAATCTAGGGATGATTTAAAGTATACAAGAGGATGTTTGAAGGTTATGTGCAAATACTACACCATTTTATGTAAGGAACTTGAGCATCTGTGAATTTGGGTATCCACCGAGGGTCCTAGAATTAATCCCGTACAGATACTGGGAGATGATTGTACAATATACACACACATTTGTATTTTCTTCCTTTTTAAAACCAAATGACAGACTCATCAGTGTCCTATGTTTTTCTTGTATCATTTTCACAATATATTGTAGAGATTATTCTACATTAATCCAGATATTATTCACATATAAATTCACCTTTCTTTTTTAACTGCTACAAAGTATTCCACAGTATACTGTGATTTCAAATTTGTTTTCAAGACGAGACCCAACTTTCTTATGCCAGGAAAGAGAAGCCGTGAGGATTGATGGATAAAGCTTTGAAACCTAGGCACTTGTTCTTACCACACTTCTAAGCACAAGCATGGTCTTAAATAGCTTGTGAGACATCTGTGAGCCTCAGCGGCACCATCTGAAAGGATTCACAAGAAATTCCAGTTCTTGTGCTGGGTCAAAATCACTGTATTAGTTTAAAAAAAAGGCCTTTACCAGCACTTACACAGGGGACAAAGGCAGTCAGCGGTTTGGAACCAATGGAATATTATAGCTAGTCTTTATAAAATAGAAGTAAATTATAAAAAGTTTATTATTTTTGTAGAAAAGGTTTAAAAAAATTTTTTTTTAGTTTTATATAGAAATTCCAATCAAGAACCAGGTATTGTTGTCCAGCTACCTATTAAGTTGGACACAAAGAAAAATATTTCAGAAATGGAATTTTTTTTTTTACTACTGTTGGTATATTTGATCAAGACAGGCTTGCTATCCTTAGATCATTTTCAAAGTGAACTAAATTATGAGCTTCTATTATGCAGTGTTTAAGAGAATATGCTGTCAAGCCAGACTGCCTCAGTTCACATTCTGGCCCTGCCACTTACTGTCTGTGTGACCTTAGACCATTTAACTGAACTCCTCTTGGGTAGTTTATCTGCCCTCATAAGGTTGATAGGAGGATTCAATGAGTTTTAATAATCATAAAGCTCTTAGAACAGTGCCTAGCATGTAATAAACAATAAATGTTAACCATAATTAATAAATAATGAAAGAGCAGCATCCTGTGGCTGACAGAGCAGCTGGGCCACAGTCGTGAAGGTCTAAAGTCAGAACTGTCAGGGCATCGAGGAGGTGTGTAATGGGAGGAGGAAGG